TTGCCTGTGGAGAGAGTCACATTCTCTCGACCGTTCACTCACACAGGAGTCGATTTTGCAGGCCCCTTCGATGTAAAAAATTACACAGGTCGAGCCTGTCTTATTACAAAAGGCTACGTGTGCGTCTTTGTGTGCTTCAGCACCAAAGCCATCCACCTAGAAGCTACATCTGACCTGACCACAGAAAGATTCCTAGCGGCATTTGCGAGATTTGTGGCACGACGAGGGTGCCCAAGTCAAATGCATTCCGACAACGGCAAAACCTTCGTCGGAGCGGCCAAAGTCCTCTCGCGCGATTTTGTAGAAGCGCTTAAGACTCAACTCCAGGCCACTTACAGTCTCCAGAAACTGTCCTGGCACTTCAACCCTCCTAGTGCACCGCATATGGGTGGCCTGTGGGAGGCAGGTGTAAAGAGTTTCAAAAATCTATTTTATAAATCTACATCGACCTCCAAATACACCTTCGAAGAGCTTTCCACGCTCCTATCCAAAGTTGAAGCATGCCTGAATTCAAGACCGATATCTCCATTGTCGGAAGATCCTACTGATCTCCTAGCTCTGACTCCCGGTCATTTTCTAGTCGGGGGTCCTCTACTTTCCGCCACAGAGCCAGAGATCAAGGAAAACGCCGCGTCCATCATCAACCGCTGGCAGCGCTTGAAGGCTTTGCAACAACAGTTCTGTCTCCGTTGGAAACATGAGTATCTTTTAGAGTTACACAAAAGAAACAAATGGCAAACTCCAACGCGAGACTTACAACGGGGCGATCTAGTCATTATTAAAGAAGATAATCTTCCAGTTAATGACTGGCGTCTAGGTCGAATCCAAACGACCTATCCTGGCGACGACCAAAGAGTCCGAGTGGTCGACGTCTTAACAGCCCGAGGTGTCTCCAAGAGACCTATCTCTAAGCTGATCCTGCTCCCGATAGAATCTAGTCTCCATTTTCCATCCAGTAAAATTTCCAGTAAAGACTAGAATCCTAGATCCATAGGTCTGCGGACCATCCGTATAAAGCCGCATCAGTAATGTCTACTATGTTTTTTTTTCACAATCTTCACGTAACAGCACGATGTCTCCACGCCAACAACATGGCCGATCCAAGAGCCGACCGGCAACGGAATCGTTCCGATGCCGAGTATGCCGAGGAGTCCACGCGCTGCGCAAGTGCCAGCGGTTCATGCGGCTGTCTCCAGAGAAGAGACTCCGAGCAGTTCTCGTTAATAAATACTGCCCAAACTGCCTGGCTCACCAACATTCCGGGGAGTCATGTCGCCGCAAGGACAAGTGCCGCAAGTGCCAGGGCGACCATCACACCTTGCTTCATTTGCAAGAAGCGCGTCGCATGCCATCTCCAGAGCGATCCCAGACAAGGCGCAGCACCAAGGCCCAAGCGCGACGCTCCGCGCCGCCTTCATCCGCTGGTTCCATCTCCTTATCATCACTCATGGAACACAAAAGGACAACCGTGCTCCCGAGAGCACTCATCCGACTCGGAAACGGCAAGGCGACCCGCGAAACTCGGGCACTTTTAGACCCGTGCTGTCCGGTAAGTCTTATCGACGCATCCTTGGCAAAGGCCTCCGGGCTATCCGTCACCCGCGTCGGTAAAGACAACGCTTGCTCGGCTTCAATAAGTTCTAGGACCTCTAGCTTCCAGCGAGAGGTCATCCTGCAAGTGATGCCAAATCTCCGGTATCGAACTCCAACGAAGCCCATCAGCGAGGAACTGAATGAGCCCTTCACCAACATTCGATTGGCAGACGATCGCTGGTTCCAGCCGGAAATCTCCAATCTGGTTTTGGGCTCGGATATATATCCGGACTTAATCCTCCAAGGCGTCCTGCCGAGTCTTGGCGGCGCACCACTGGCCCAAAACACGGTCTTTGGGTGGATATTGTCCGGCTCCTGTGCTCAATAGTCGGAACAGAGCCACGTCCCTCTCCCTTTTTCTTTTGCAATACTGCAAGGCGGGCGGCATGTTCACACAAGAAGTGTATCCAACAGTCGCCATCCAACCGCCATGTAACTCCGGAACCAGTACACGGAACATGTACTGAAATTTCACCACACGTACACTAATACACTGGTACTCTTGTAATGTACTCTGAGAAAATGAAATAGATGAAAAATAACCTTCAAGCTAACAAAACGTGTTTTTCTTCAAACCTAAAATAAATTTGTGCAGAGCAGAAACGCTCCTCCAACGACGATTCATTCTATAGAAGTTCACCTGGAAGCCCTGCGGACGCCCTACTACAACATTAGGGTCTGATGACAATTCTATTAATATGTAATTTTTGTAAATCAGCCCACAACTGAAATATTTTTCTATATGTTTGTTTGATTGGACTCAAAAGTCTTTCGCTATTTTAAGTGTTAAAGTTGACTCCCATATTTAATTAGCAAAATCGTATCAATTTATTATATAGGAAGAAACAGTCGTAAAATCAGATGTTAGTGGAAGCCTTTTTTTTCGCTGATATCTCGACCTAACTCAGCAATTACGAGCTTTGATATTCTACGTCACGTATCTGTATAACTTTAAGCTACGTAAATAGAAAGGAGTTTATTTGGTCGTCGTGCTTAAGATAGACATATCCCTTTTTTCTATAGCCATGGTAGACTTTTATATGGAAATACTCTTAAATCAAAATTGCTTGAAGAAGCATTCATTTGACAGCAATTACTGTACTCACTTTGTCCACAATTAAGTTCTAACACTTTCCGCCTAAATCAAGACAGCTGGGTCTACCCTACGGCATATTAAGTTGGCTGCGCCTGAGCATTTCGTGACATGAAGCTGAACGAAGAATCTAGTTTTAATTTAAGGAAAGCATTTTAGGCATGTTGACAGTCAGTTTCATTTGAGTGTCAACTTTGCTAGGATTGTTTGTCACGGGTCCATCGCTAAGACTACATTTTTGAATTCATGATTTGACACAGGCAGCTGCTGTGGGCTGTCATGGATTGAGCAAATGCTAGGCTAAAGAGTGAGCTGTTTTTGGTTTGACTGATGTTGTTGTTGATATTTCGGTTCGACTGGATAACTGGCTGGCACTTGTTGCCGGTTTGTGTCTCGGCCAACGCAGCTGCTCTGGAGCTTTATATTTTTTTTATTATTATATACTTGATTTTTTGTGGCCTGCAGCTTGGGTCCCGCTTTGGTGAATGATGCTAAGGCCACAAAATCAAAAATAATATTACAAAAAAAATTACATATCACTAGCTGTGATTTGATTTGTGCTGCGCGCCGCCAGGTGAAAGTGGTTTGTGATTTGAATTTATATTTGGTAATACGTGCTTAAATAAGCCTAAGATGATGTCTCTATTCTTTGGTTCAATTATTTATGGCTATAGATTACAGCCTTTTCATCGGTTTCCACACACACTGACACAAAGAAAGAGAAATTACTCACGCTTGCATCATGATCTCTGGATTTTCGGACATTTGGATCTTTTCTTTTTAATATATTGACACCAGCTGCGCCAACTGGCCAAAAGCGAATGCAAGCGCCGGCAAAACAAATGCATTGTTCACAATTTTCCAATTGTCGTCGATAAAACACACACACACACTCATTTATTCGCTCGCACACACGCATACACAATGCTTTATCGCCTTGTCAATCGTTGCCGCTCCAAAACAAGTTGCATGAAAATATTTTAGCCATGGCCCGTACGCGGGACCCGACCGTTCATTATCGTCTTAGCCATTGGCTCCCGCTCAAATCAACCGGCAGCCATCTCTCAAATGTTGCAGCAGCTGTTAGCCAAAATGCTTTTGCTCATATCTGCACTCGCCAATCGCTCGGCTTGTTTGTTTAATTAACTTACCATAAAAACCGACCGGTCGTATAATTTCTAAAATGTTGGCCAAAATAAATTTCAATGCCGGGCTCAACCGGGATTTGAACCCGGGACCTCTCGCACCCAAAGCGAGAATCATACCCCTAGACCATTGAGCCGCTTGCTCGAACAGCTTTTAAAGCAAAACTTTCACTACGGCCAATGTGATGTTGTTTTGGCCACGTTTGGCTTATTTTTAGTTGCCACATGCAGCAGCCAAAAGTGTGCATTGGTTGTGGCGGCATCTGCACATATTTTGTGTGTGCCTAGAAGTAGGCAACATAAAAGTGTGGGAATTCTTGAGTACCAATTGTCTTGCATATATGCGATAATAAGCGATAATCTCTAAACGATTTTGGGGAAATTGTACTCCATTGCTAAACGAAAAACTACGCCAAATGCGAATTACCAGCTCAGCCAGTTGGCCTCTATATGGTTGGTTGGTTTGGGACGGTGTTGGCTAACATATTTTGCCATAATTTATGTAAATTTTATCAAGGAAATTAAATGCAAAGCTTAAATCAGAGCAAGTAAATACTTATAAGATTTAAAATCTATTTTCTTAAGAGTAGTTTTTGAAAAGGAGAGGCTTTTAAAACAACCACAAAAAAGACCTTTTCCACCTAAAAACTGGAACTGGGTAGGTATTTGGTTGTATGATATTATTGTTTCTCGCACGATAGTTGTTGCTGTAGTTTTCTTATCAAACATTTCTGCTAATTTTTGGGATCAATCTGCACAGCTGTAAGCAAACAAATTTATTGATTGCGCTCAACTCAGCTACAATATTATGTTTATGTTGTCAACACTTTTTTTTATCGATGTTCCATAAAGGACTGTAAGACGTTTCATTTATCCACCCACAGACAAATAAGCACAATTCAAACCAAATTTTTCTTAACTTAAGAATAGTTTTTATTTAAATTTAAACTAATTATGTACACAAAACTTTACATTTAAAGTGAATCTTAAATATACATGTATGAAAACATATCTAAACATGAAAATGCACGCACTTTAAATTAGCACAAGCTGAAAATGCAGTTATCTATTCTTTCTCAAAATATTAAACTATTTCGAGCTCCTTTAAGAACCTTGCGTAATGAATTCTTTTTTCGATTATTTAATGAAACCTTTTATTTTTGTCGAATTTTATTCTCGATATGAGCGTCATATGACAAACTTTATATATGTACTTATTGGTTTCTAGGAATATTTATACATATTTATTTTTTATGAGCCGCAATTTCGAAGACAGTTTCAATTTCGAAGACAGTTTCTATTCACATATATTTTATAGTTCGTTATTCTGCTCAGATTTTATTACAGGTATCGTTTGCAAATTATAACCTTACTTCCAGGTTTTGAAAGGTTATTTTTGAATACAAGAAAATTTACGATTCCTAAATCCAACATTTGGCTCTTAATATTTAAAAAAAGTTCTTATTAGCGACTATTTGAGAAAACACCGCGCGCTTGAGAAGTTTATATTTCCAGTTTACTTTAATACGTAAAAATAAATCTTTTAGCCGAATGCTGTCCAAAACTTAATCAGAAACATCTAAAACACATGATGGATAAGTATGCCCGTGGCAAAAGAAACCAAATCTAACCACTAATAGTCGTCGACAAAACTATGTTAAATAAAGTCTATTAATAAGGTATGCAGCTCAAGTAAATATATCTTCGACCAGCTGCTTGGTAATGATGCGATGTGGTCGCGTTGGATTCACCTTGGGGCGCTGATAGAGACGCGCATTGATCGCATACAGCCGGGGGGAGATATCGCAGCGTACATTGAACCACCAGTCGCAGACGAAGACCGCCTGAGAGAACTGTGTGCCATTGGGGCAAAGAAACGAGGCCTGACGTCCATCAATGTCGCAATAGTGCCAGCCTGTCAATATATAATGTAAAACATCTGTATAAGTACATTGATAAACATGCATGCATGTAACTCTGGCTTACGACTCACCCTGGCATCTAGTTTCCATGTCCGCAAAGAAGCCCGGGTAGGACTGCTCGTCACAGTAGAAGTTCGTATAGGGTACGGCAGAGAGTATCGGATAGTCCACGCCGGGTCGACCTGCAAGATTATTTGGTTATTGCAATTAGCGCTGGCAAATAAACAACGTGTCTTGTTTGTTTCCAATCAATTTCACTTCATGTGTCGATTTTTTACTTAAAAGAAAGTGCAGTTGCAGCCCAAAATAAAACCAGGCTATAAAAAATGGATGCCACAGCAACTGCCCTACCCCCTCTCTCCAACGACTGTTGGCCCGTTCGCAAAATGTCAAATGCACGCACAACAACGCCGCCAGCGGGCCGCATAAAAAACTGTTGTATGTTGGCATAAACAAATCTGACATGCCGCTGGCTCCACCGACCCCTCGCTTGACCCCTCGACTCGCTAATAAATGAATTTACGAGTAGCTGCACTTCTGTGCCAAATTTTCCATTCGAAAAATAATTTAAAAAGCGTTTTTTTTATTTTTGCGCTCTGGACAAAAATGCATTTTGCAGCTGCAAATGAACACAAATAGGTCTGCCCTAGTCCGATTAGCAGATACCCTGTACTAAGCTGCGCAACATAGCAGAACATCTAAACTAAATGGCCTTTTGATAGCGATTCGGCATCTTCTTCGCTTCTCCTTTTGTGGATTATTCATTCTTAAGTAACTTCTCTGTTTATTGTCTGATCTTTTTGTAATATTTCTTAATCTATATATATGCTCTGATTCCTAAATTCATCACGAAGGACTTAAAAGAGCAGAGGCTTAAATTCAATTTATGAGAAATCGAGAAATTTATCAATATATATAGATCGAAATTAAGGTCTAGCTTCTAAAACCTATTTCAACCATTTTCAATAGATATTATAGGCATATACAGGGTATCTGCAGTTGTTCTGACAGTGAATACGCTGCCGCTCCCTCAGCCAGATTTAGGCCGTGCTTGCAGCATGAATTTAATGCAGAGCAGTCGCGCATATTGATTGACTTGTTAGCAGTAATGTGCTCACCCGGTATGGATTTGCCCAGCTCCAGATATTCGCGCACCGAGGGACTTAAAAAGTTATCGGGTATTTCGGGCAGATCCTTCTCCTGGCTGCCGGTGTCCTCATTCTCCAGATCCTGCTGCGGCTCCGGCTCGAAGTTGACCGGTTCCGGTGCGCGTGGGCGTTTTGTGCGCTTCGAGCGTTCCGTTTCACGGCAATCTACAGGAAACAACGACAAAACAAAAAATATAATAAGCTTTAAATAACCAAGCCTCAAAAACTGAAAAACTAAAAACTTAAAGTTCAAGGTTTTAACAACAATTGCTGGCGTTGCTAATCGCATTTATGCCAAGATTATAATTTGGATTTTGACCACACCCAATTCCGGTTTAGGCAATTAACTCTGGAAGCGCAGCTGTCAACTGTAAATCAACTCCGACCTCCAGTTTTGACCCGCTTCGGCTGCTGTCCATTGTGCAACATGTTCTCATGTTTTATCATTTGTTGCGCAACATTTTGTGGCCATATTGACAAGTTTTTGTGTTGTTTGGGCCATTGACCTTGCAGCTTCTTTGGGAAAATACTTTATCTCCGACTAAATGACATGCACTTTGCCGTGTAATTGCTTACTAAGAATTTGGCTTTCATACCCTCATAGAGGGTATTATAGTTTTCTTGTGAAATGTGTAAAGCAGAAAGGGAGACATCTCCGAATAATAAATTATATATGTTATATTCTCGATCAAGTGCATCGATCCATTATATCATATCGATAGATATGAATTACCCTTTTCCTTTTCGAGTTAGCTTGCACAAACATGGCATTACCATGCTTATTGTATATGATTGAAGTCTTTTGCCCAACGGACCTTTATTTCAGATAGCTTTTACAGGCAGAAATTAAACTTTGTTTAAGTTTTCAAGATGTCTTGACCACACTCAGCAATTATAAGCTTTACCACGCACATTATATATGATCAATCATCAAGAATCTTAGCAACATCATACTTCTACACCAAAACTCGTTCGAAGAAGAAGTATTTACATGGGATGTCTTTTTGTTTTAAGCATATTCTCCTCAAATATCGTGAACAGTTATTAGCTATAGGGTATTTGGTGTTCATCGTTCAGTTGTTGTTTTTTTTTCGCTCATTAGCTTAATTTGCAGCTGCAGCAGCAACAGCTCCGTTCGCTTCCTTCATTTGCAACCCACTCACAAGTATTTTGCATGCTTTGCCTTCACGCGGATCCGTCCGTTGGCCCGGTGGATACTGAAAACTTGTTCTCAATTTCATTCTACAATTCGCGCAATTTATTCACGATGTTGGCAGTTGTCGTTTGTTGTAATTGTAATTGACCTTAACCTTGTTCCACAGTGTTTTATTTACTTTTTTTCTTATTCTCGATTCTTGTTGTTGTTATCGTTATTGTGGTTGTGTGTCATTCAACTCAAGTGTTTGTTGTGCAACTGCCTACATGCAGTAGGCATTTGAACTTTCGTTGAAGGGCAGCTGCCTCTTGAAAAAGGCCGACGTTAACATAATTTTTTACATATTATCTTGTCTGATAGCGCGAACAAGATTCAACTTGTAATTAATATTCTTCCTAAACTAAACAATAAAAGTTTCTAGATTTTTGTTGTTGAAATTAAGATTTATTGATTTTGGATAAAAATGTTATTTCAAAAGCAATTTTTTCTTTAAATCTTTTTTTTTTAATTATCAGTTAATAAGTTTAAAATGAAATCTATCGGAAAGCATGAAAAATGACACACAACTTCACGATCATTTTTTATTAGTTAAGTTCCCAAATAAATAGAATATGATCTCACGATTTTTAGACTTACGAGCATTTATTGTTAAGGGTTTGACCTCCTGATATTCCAAACACATTTTTATTATTTGTGTAAAGACGTTTTCTTAACAAATATTGAGTGAAAGTATACCTTACCTCACCTCACCTATTTTAATCGTATTGCAGTGATTTCTGCCTACTATATGCCTTGAATAATTTTGACACTCCACGCATAAGCAGACGCGGATATTAAAATGAGCATTTTGCAGATTTTTTGATAATATTAAAATAGGGGAAAATGTCGAAGAGCAAAACCAATTAACATAATCCAAACACCCATCGACTGCAACGAGCACACGCACACACACAAACACACACACACACACACACACACACACTGTGGTTAAGAGAAGCAATTGAAAAAGTGTTTATTAGCCACACTCTGCAAACACACGCACACAAACACGCCGCCTGCGACAAATTGCAACATTAAATTTTCGTAAAAATGACAACAAAATTTATTACAATTGAAATAATTACTGCGAAAAACAATCAAATTGCAATTAGAGGCAAGTCGCGAGGCAAACAAAAACCCACAAATGCCATGACGACAAATTGTAAAGCCTGCAAAAAAGATAAACGTAACTGCAAATATCTATATACACATATATGTATCTATATCTATAGCTATATCTATATCTGCTACGCACAGCGCGCCTAATGTCAAGAGTTGTGCGTAACCAATGGCAGAATGAAAAAATATCATGTCTAATGAAACATTTCGCGGCGTAGATTGGACAGAGAACTCTGGGCGGGGCAGCTGTCCCAGCGGATGCAGTGCATCATGTCTGGCTGTGGGGCACACCCCGTTTGCCACGTCTGGCAATGGATTAGGTAACCCGAACGGCCGTCTCCCATATGTATGTGTTGCAAATGCTGGCCGGTCACCACATCGAACCACATTTTGTTGGTGGCTTGTCGTCGCCAATGTGTATTGGGTTTTTTGGTTTTGCAGTCGCATAATTAAAGTAATTGCCATACGCTGCAGCCTGCAACGAGTTGTGGCAGCTGCCGCAGCAGCAACTACTACGCATTTCACAATTGTAATTGGTTTTGCGCACTAACTTAACGAGTGATAAAAACTTGGCTACTGAAATCCCAATCACACCCAGCCCCAGCTTATTACCTAAAGGTTATGCTCCGCTTACCTCTTGTGGCATCCACATGCCATAAATCCAACCTGTCATTTTTATCAGCCGAATAATTTAGAGTGTGCATTATTTATGTTTTGTTTAATGCTAAGGACAATGCCACCACAGCTTAGTTCGAATGCTGCCACAATGGCAATTAGGCGGAGACTGATAATTGTGGCTGGAGCTTGACCTTTTAGACAAATCGTTTTCTAAATTTACAACATTTATTCTTGTCCCTTGCCCTTAAATATGAATGCAATATTCAAAGGCCAACAGAGTTACCATTAAATTTATTTTGATTTTATGAAAATTAAGAATTTAAGTTTGGTTAATTACAATATGTTAAGGTAATTGTACCTTTCAGTTCTCCTGAGCAAAAGTTCTTTGGCTCTATATTTTAATAGAGGATATTAACCGGCTTTGTCGAGTTTCTTCTTTGCAACACATTTCTCGGCCATGAGATTATTAAAATTAAATTTAAAAATATTTTTTCACATCGTAATTGAGTTGTTATCTACCTTATCCCAATTCTATTATCCACTTTTATCCTACCTGGCTGTAATTTCAAAAAAGTCCCGAATATTTATTTCTTTAATCATTTTTTACACAGTTCCTGGCAATTTCACTTGAAGCTGATCGTATGGCCTGTTCGCTTTTACATTCTTCGAGCCTAACACATGCCCCTCCTCTCTCTCTCTTTTTTTTCTTAACTCAATAGACCTAAGCAATGCTGCGACTAGTTACAACCGATTTGGTTAGTTGAAAAGCCCGAATTATGCCGCCTTCAAATTGTTGTTAGCCTCTAGCCGACTGGCGGTTTGTTAGTGGTAGGCGTAGTCGGGGGCGTTATTTGATAGCTTCGATAAGAATCAAAAGCTTAAAGCCGTGTTAACGGTTTTATTTTTTGGCCCAATTTTATTTGGCAATTTGCATTTTGTTGGCGACTAAAGTTAAAAACTTGCTCATGAAACGAACTAACCCAGTGGCTGGACCCATATCGAATGTATATTGACTGCGTTCATAATTTTTGACATGGCCGTAAAATACGTCTCGTGAGGGGTGTGGGTGGGTAATGGGAAAGGGGTTGGGCAGTGGTATGGGTGTATAGCCCGCTTCTCAAAGACAAAGCGCCTGCGAGCTATTTGCAGTCGTCACACGAATCAAAACAATAATGGATAATAGAACGGCATGCCAAAGATGAAATACTCTTGTCTGGCTGGCTTACGGGTTTTAAAAATTGTTAATTAAATTGGTCAAGATATCTTTAAAAACAGAATAAAATTTCCATTCAAAAACTCACTTTTCAATCGATTCTTCCTTTTTCGGCTATATCATGCTATGATATAACATATATGATAATATATGATCATATATGATTTCAACATGATTTGGCTTATATGATAGCTTGGTCCAGATATAATAAGAAACAATAAAGCTATTTTTACAAGAAATAAATTTTTACTTTTTTATTCTATGAAAGGTATATGTTATAGTGGTCCGATTCCATAACTTTAAAACTGACAGACAGACGGACAGATTTACATGACTCTGGCAAGTTGGCTGTTTATGATGATCACGAATGTATATACTCTATAGAGTATGTATATACTCTATCTGTTACACAGTCAACGACACAACTATAATACTCTAAAAGGGTATAATAAAAATGAAAATGAAAATAAAAATAAAAAACAGCATCAAACTCGTTTGTTGCATTGTTTTGGTTTAAATCGTCGCCGCTGAGGTTTGGCTGCGAGTTTATGCAATGCATTTAGTCAATAGATTAAGGAGCCGGCTATACACCCAATGTCTAACCGAAAATATGTATGTGTATGTATGTATATATATGTATGTGTGTGTGTATGTGTAACAAATCGTGACTGCATGAAGTTGCCGTTAAAATCTATGACTACGCGGCAATGCTTCGATCCAAGTCACATGCACATTTTTAAGGTGGAGCTCGTTGTGATTTCTTTTGACAATATATTTACGTATACCCTGTAAACAGCACACCTTTACGATCTTGATAAACAAGAGCTTCCGCCTATTTAAAGATAAAGTCTTGATTTTTTGGATTAAGAGCAAGTCCGTATAGGATGGCCTTCGACTGTTTTCCTCTTAGGATACCTGTGCCCAAATTACAGGGTATGCCCCAGCAAGCACACTCAACTATATTTGAGCTGCCTGTTTTATATATATTGTTTTATTTTTTACTTTTTTGCTGTTCGAAAC